TTTCCCTTCCCCAGGGACCAGCTGGGGATTCCTGGTGCTGCCCTCACTCCTGCTCCTGCTGTGCATAAGTGCCACAGGGGGCGCCATCTGGAAGAGCCTCACGGGGAACCCCTGGTTTCAGCGGGCACAGATGCCACAGGCTTTGGTACGGCAAGTCTGGGGGCACGGGGCAGGAAGGAGGGGTGCGGAGAGTAGGGTGGGGAGGGAGGGTCACGAGTAGCTCAGACCGGGTATCGGGGGGCTGGATGCAGAAGCCCTCCCCCTCTGCCTAAATTCCCACCACTAGAACGTGTGCGTCAAGCAGCAAATACAAATATGTCCAGGAGGGAGAAGTGCCCCAGGCCCCCGTCAGGTGCTGAGAGACAAGCCCTCGGTCTCAGGGCCCAGGAGAAACGCCCTGGGGGTGACAGGGGCGGGCAAGCATGGCACCGCAAGGGGAAGCAGTAGTGGGGCCCAGCTCTGCTCCCGTGTAACCAGGCCGAGCCTGGCCAGGCTGACCTTGGGATCCCCTCACTTGTCTGCTGGGGCCAGCCAGGGCGGGACCCCCAAAGAGATCAGAGGTCAGACTTGTTCTGATGAGGACCTGGCAAGGGAAGTGTGGCCGGAGGGGAGGCTCGGTGGATACTTGATGGGGCAGTGGTCCTGTGTCATGGCAGGGTGTCAGGGGTCAAAGGTCCCACCTGCAGGGCCGGTGGGGGAACACCCACCGCCTGTCTGGAGATTGAACTCCAGCAGCTCCGGCTGTGCCCCTCCTTGTCCCTCGGCCTCCCTACTCCAGTGCACCCCAGCTAGACTCCCGGCACCCAGCTGTGCCCAGGCGCCTTCTCTGGCCTCCAGTGTCCATTCTGGCCTGCACACGGGCCACGTGTCAGGGGTTAGCCCTGCTGCCAGCACTCGTGCCTCAGCAGCATGAGGGGCCTGGTGGGAAACACTCAGTGGGACAGTCTGATGTCACCGTAGGATGAAGCTCCGGCTGTCACCATGGAGACTGGCCTGGTAGCACCCCCACTTCCTGCACCCCCGTCTGAGTTGCCCACTCCCTTACCAGAGCTCCCTGGGACCCCCGCCCAAAGGTGTTGCTTACACTGGGCTCCTCGACTCAGCCTATCCCACCCCGGGGGAGCCCCAGTTCAAATAGCCATGCTCCAGGGAAGCCAGAACTGTCTGCTCTTCTCGCCCCCACCCCATCAGGACTTCTCCGGACACAGACCCCTGGGCGCAACCTTTCAGCCCAGCGGACTAGACTTGCCCGATGACATAGTCATCCATCCCCAAAAGGAACTGACCAGGAGAGTCGGGCTGACCACTGTCAGAGCTCTGTCCGCCCTCCAGGCAGGGTCAGGGGACAGTGCCCAGGACCCAGAGGAGGACGAGGACGCCGACGACAGCAGCAGCTTCCAACCCTACATCGAGCCCCCCGCCTTCCCAGGGCCAGTGCACCTAGTTTCGGGGTACTCCAAAGCCAGTGGGGCAGCCTCAGGGGAGTGCTGGCCTCCCGTGGTCCAGGCCGAAGACTCTGCCCGGGCGTCCTCAGCTAGGAGCTGGGCCTGCACTGGGGATGCCTCCTACCCCTGGGTCCAGGCTGGGGCCTCTGGCTACTTGGCCAAGGAGGGGCCTGGCCAGGGGCTCAGAGCGGATAGGAGTCAGCAGTCTCTCTCGCCTCCTAAACTCTTGGAGGACCTGGACTTCATGGAAGAACTCCCGAAACATGACCTGCCCTGGGCTACCTCGGGCTTCTCATGGCCGGGGCTGGATCCAGGCCCTGGGGAGCCTCCAGTTTCTCTTCAGACACTGACCTTCCACTGGGACAGCGGCTCCGAGGAAGGGGAGGACGAGGATGAGGGTGGGAGGGAGTCGGAAACTGGGGACAGCGACGAGAGCAGTGGGGGCGCTGAGCGAGCCCAGACGACCCAGGTTGGGGACAGAATGCTGGGGCAGTACATGGCCAGGTGAGCGGGCCCCGCCGCCCCCAGATCTGGTGCTGCCGCCGTGGCTAGTGGGCTTCTCCAGGACCCCGGACACCAGGGACGCTCAGCAGCCTGCGTCCGCCATGAGACGGCAGTGACCTCGCAGCACCCCCGGAGCCCACCCGAGGCTGCCGGCTGAGCAGTAAGACGCCACTCTTGTGAGCCCTGAGGGCTGGGCTGGGGTCAGAGGTTGGTTCCGGGTCACATCACCTACCGCCCCGGGGGTGACGGGCCAGGTGGGAAAATCATTCCTGGGCACATGAGGCAGGTGCAGGCGGGTGGGTCGCTGCAGACATCACAGGCCGACCGTGCCGAGGGCATCTGGCGTTCTGGGGCTTTCAGTACCCGCTGGCTGCCTCCTCCCCCGTCAGCGTCCCGACTGATGGGTCCCCTGGGGTGGAGCCCTGGTGAAGGAGCATCCTGCTGACTGAGGGAGCTGGGGGGAAAGGCAACGGCAGCTGTTCAAGTCCTAGTCCTCGGAGCCATGGCATTGCAGTTTTTCATGTCAGAAGACCTGGGTTCAAATCCCCACCACGCTGTAGAGCAGGTGCGTGACGGTGGGTAAGCCACCTTCTCTGTGCCTCAGTTCCTCACCGCAGCTGCCTCCTGTAGGTGTGGGTTCGGAGTGATCTGATGTGCGCACACACCTGCCTGCCACTGGTGCTCTTGCACGGTGGCTGGCAGGACCCTCCATCAACTGCCCAGGCTCCAGGCCCAGCACTGAGAACACACTCACCTCAGCTGGTCTCACCTCCCAGCCACTTCCTCCCTCCCTCTCTCACTGCCCTGCACCTCCTGGTCTCCTGGTCGAGCGACTGAACTCTGAGGAGCCAGAGCCCCAGCCAAGGGGTTCCCTTTTCCCACAACAGGAACTCTGCTTCCCAAGACAGGAGCCCAGTGGCCCCTTTCAGGGTCCGATTTGCTGGGGTGAGGTAGCACGGCAGGGACTGGAGCCCGGGACCCGTTCCCCAGTGCCGGGCAGACTGTAGACCCCTCAGTTGTCTGTCATGGTGAAAAGAAGCTCCACCTTCCCCTCCACGGACGAGAACCCCTGTCCTGTGCACACAGGTGAGCACAGGGTGGAGCGCCCTCAGGTCACCTGCACCCCACCTATGCATGCACATACCCGAGTTTGCACCCAGGCTCTGGTCTGCTTTGTGGCCGGGGACCTCACAATCTTGGCTCTGTGACCTGAGCCCTGCCATTTAAGCCGCCAGGGCTTTACCGTCCGCTCCTGACAGATCCTCACGCCATTTTCCGCACTGAGCTGTCACTCTGCAGCCACGCAAACAGTGCAGCAGGAAGTGGCGCTGGAAAGGCTTCTTGAGGACAAATGGCCTACGGAGTCCCACCTTGTTCCCAAGGCCTTGAACGCCGGTTGCGGTGGGGAGCCAGGGGGCCGTTTGAACGGCACCCTCGCTGTGCCCCGTTTGAACGGCGGCCTTCCACGCGAGGAGGACAAAGCCAGCAATCAAACCACTTTCTCAGCTGAAAACGAACTTCCCTCAAAGAAGCTGAGGTCCAGAGTGGTAAAGGCACTTGCCCAGGGCCACCCAGCAATCCTGCCCTACTGCCTCGTGCCCGTCCCCAAGGGTGAGACCCTGGTCTCTGCCGCGCCAGACCAACCTCTGACCCCTCGACCACTTCAACAAAGTGTGTAGGTCTCGGGATTTCCGAGGGTCGCCAAGCTGGCAGGAAGTCTTCGCCACCACGTGGGCATGGCCACGCATCTCCGCAGTGGTTTTCCCTGCAGTGAGGCCTGTCCATGGCATGGAGCCCAGAGGAGGAAGAGCAGGCTGACACCCTGCAGCCAGGGCGGGGCATGACCCGAGGCCAGCTCCCCACAGCACCCAGACCAAAGACCAAGCTGAGCTGCGTCCACGAGGTCACTTCAGACATCTAAAAGCTATCATGAAATGACCGCATTTTTTAAATTCTTAAACCTGTTTTTATCATTTTTTTCAATGTTCAATTTCTGACATAACCAATGCTTTCTCATGATTCTGAATTCTACCTCCATTATAGCCGGAATTTAGCAAAAACACGTGGGAGCAGGGGAAAAGGACAGGTGGGCAAACCCTTCAGCGTGGGCGGTCTCGCTGTTCGCAAAGCCCTCTCCCACGCAGGGCCGGGCCTGCGCGGCGCGGGCTGTGGCCGTGCTGGAAGGACATGGAGAAGGTGAGCAGTAGCCTTAAAGCACTGTGTATCATGTCCTAGTGTAGCCAGGAGATTGGATGTTGTCCTTACATAACTATTTATTTTTCATTTTGTACTATGTTTATTCATATTTAAATGATATCCTTGGCCAACTCCATGGCCTGGTGGTTAAGACAGCCTGGTCTCACGTGGCTGAACCTGTGGTTCGAGTCCTGCACCTGCAAGCATGAAAAACTCACCAGGCTCATATGTGTGCATGTCCAGAATCCCAGAAGGAGGAGAAGGGGTTGAGGCGTAACATTCCCCATGGGGGTTGCTTTTTCCTCTTCCTCTCTCTCTCTGGTGAGTGCGCATGCTCTGTGGCAAAAACAGGAACAGTAATGTCCCAATGCTAGTTGGTTTACCTTCAATAAAGAGCTTCATTTTTAGAGGTACAATTGAATGGAGAGGTACGTGCACTTACCTTACGAAAGGTCTCCATCGCTCATCTGGAAAAACTTGCTAGTGAGACTGCAAGGGTTGGGCTGGTCCTATGGGCTAGAGGTTAAGGGAGCCAGTCCCACACAATGACATGGTTCAAATCCCAGTCCTGGCAGTTTTGAAACATCAAGTATGTGAGCGTGCATGCCCCAGATCCTGACATGATGGAGAAATGGGAGAAGAGGATTGTGGTGCGATCACATCCCACTAGCAATCACATCCCACTAGGGTGGGTTGCTTTTTCTGCTCCCTCTCTCTGTCTCTCTTTGGCGAGTACATGCACCCTCTGGCAAAATTACAAAAAAAAAAAAA